TGTTGAGAGATTCCTAGAGGCAGAACATGAGCAAGAGATTCAGTGACTTCACTGTGATTTCTCAAAAAACTAATCAGATGGAGGGCCTAGCCCAATTCACAGACAATTTCAGAGTGAAATAAATGAGGAAGCAACACAGACCAGGTTGAGGTATACAGTATATCTCTAGGTGCAGATTTGTCCCAGTGGTGGAAAAGTTTCCGTCTTGATAGCTGTGAGGCTCCCAGAGAAATGCATCTGTCAAGGCCTAAACATGCAATAGTTTGTAGGGCTTTCACTGACCTGATGTTATTTGGTTGAAGAAAGCATGAGCTGTTTATCCAAGCCATCCTAAATACACTAAAACTATGAGTTATGCAGTCTAAAGGGCCACAGTAACCATCACAACACAGCACAAAATCTTGCTTAGAGGCATTCTTTATCCTTGGAGGCTATTTAGTCAACCTTTTACTGATTCAAATGTGTTTTGCCTAGAATATAAATCATGTTATTTTTTTCCCTTTCATGTCACTATTTCACTCTGGCAACAGTTTTGTTGATGCACTTTGCGCAGCTTCAAAGGATCTTTGTTCCTAGGCCCAGTATCCCAGGGCTGCTAACCACAAGCCTAGTGTCAGTAAATGAAACCCTGAGTGATGTAGAAACTGGGAGTAGCAATATTCACTAGAGCAGTTTCTATCTAATAATAACGTACTGGTTTATAAAAGATATACGATGCCTGCCTTTGCCTTGTTGTATCATGATGTATGGTTTGACTAAGGAAGGCCAAATGCTGTGAACATGAGGACCCAAACCTCAAGGTTCCTGAGCATAGCAGAAATGACTTATTTTACATACAGAAAGAGTTTATAAAACTTACCTTGTGAAGAAGTGAAGCAAACATACTTTTTTTTCTCTCTCCAATTGGCTCCAACGATTACTACCTGGTTTATTTTCTACTGCAGGGTTGTTGTACTACAAACTGAGAGGCCTTCCACTGATTGCTTGTTTTAAACCATGTGTAAATAATCTCCATGTACTCTTAATGATTCAAACCTGTGATTAACTGCTACTTGGCCAAGAAAAGAAGTTAACTGATGACTGAAAATAGAGGTAAAAATTACACATTCTGGGATATTAATCTGCAAGTACAGAAAAATATCTATATATATCATTTCCGTTTACCATCTCCATGTGTTCAGGCCAGTATCTTAGTCCAAATGTCACCCGTATTCATAGTTACTTTTCTATTTGAATAACAAAATATATCACCTGCAGCACTGTTGCCTCTGTTCTTCCTCATGATTTTTCCTGTCTCAAGAGGAGATTGCCCCTGAAGGAGGATGCAGTCATTTGCAGTGAGCATGGAGGTGCCTACATTTAGCCCAGACAGTGTGTTCAGCTCAAAGAGGCACCTGAAGTCCTGTAGAAGGCACTTCATGGCTAGTGAAGTGTACTTTTCACAATAATAAATACTAAAATTCCACCCAGTTCTCTTTCAGGTGCTGAAATGACCTCTGTGGAGCTCACCATTACTACTTTGGATATACGTTATCAGGGTATCTACTGTCTTTGGCTTGAACTTTCATGTTCAAAATGTGCCTCCAGATGAGTTAATCCCTTCTTCAGCCTGAGAATGATGCTTGTCTCATGCCATTCCTTCTGGTGGGACACTGGCAGACAACAGCTGTCTGCTTTCATTAGACAAAAATAACAAACCTTATTTTTTGGAAGACAAAAATTATGCTTGCACCAGTAGCATGCATGTATGGAAGACTGGAATTTGAAAATACATTTAATACCCTAGGGCAACTTCTCAAATTAACAAATTAGCAAATCTTATCCCTTACAAAGGTGTATCATAACGTAGAAGTCTATGTCTGAATCACATGTCTAAACTCTCACTTTAGATGATAGTCCACAGCAATGCAGCTTACCAAATGCAAATCCTTGCCTTCATTAAGTGTACAGCTCAATAACTTGAATTTATAAACAAGAAGGCAAAGTGTGTTGAACTAGAAGGTCCCCAGGGTTGAAAATTTCTTATTTAACCCCTGTAAAATTTTTAGGTTCAAACAGGTCTATGTTAAACATATGCACCTTGTACTCTACATTATGATACATTATCACAACAAAGCAATTCCAAGTTCATCACAAATCCACATCTGCCTTCATTCCATATATCTTTCCAAATAAGTGTTAAATTACCACAGAGTGTGCTTTCCAACATCATACATGCATGAATGTTAGTAAGGAATGGCTGTAGAAAACATATGAAGCATCAAATGACCCTCAACAAAACAGGCAGTTTTCTGCAGCACTGTGTAGCCTTCTCTGTAAACAGGAAGAAAAGGATGGAAGATCTGTTTGTTTTAAGAATGCCTGTACTGACCATCCTCTGCCTTCAGGCTTCTCTCATAACTGGGTTAGAATTGCCTCTATGGACATAGATAAAATCATAACAGCTACATTTTGTACACATTCTGTGCACTCTAAGTATGTTAGAGCCATAAACTACTGTAATGTAATTTAAAGACTGCCATCTCTGAAATTTCTGCTCCTGCTGCTGCCATTTTTTTTAAAGTTAGTGTTGTAAATAGCATTTTTGCAGAATTTACAATACTGCCAATGAATGAGAAACCTCTCAAAAAGCTGACAGTTTTAGATCACTTCACAGCTATTCATTTAAAAAATAACTATTTAAAGACCTTATTCCCAGAATTACGTATGTAAATAGGTTTCTGTCAACTCACAAGTGGCCAGAGAACAAAGCACTTGTTAAGGAACAGTGTGATACTAGAAGAGATTAATGAGCTTCTGCGTATGGATACTTTAAACCCCCTGCTTTGCAAGTAAGAGATACTTAAAGTACTTTAAAAAATCTATGTATTTTTTTCTCAGAGTTCTGTGGATTTGCATGAAAATCAGTTTGGTTGAGCTACTGAGGAATTAACAGGACTGACAAAACAGTTGTGATAAAATTACCCTAATAAACTCATTGATTGCCTGCTCGGATGGGGTCATTGAAGGAATGTCGATGACTAGGAAAACCCTGTTACACCTGCTGCTTCACCCTGTGGGGGTGATATTGATTGTAATTAATTTGTATTTGGTTGTGCCTGTGTGCTGTCGTGCTCATTAAAGAGACCTCTGCCTGATGTTGTTGGTAGTGCAGGTTAAACAACATTGAGTACCCAAGAGGTAACGCCCAGTACTGTTAAGAGAAAGACTGTCCTAAAGTCCGTAGTCCCAGAACAAGTTAAGCCAATATACACAGGGCCTCTTTGGTGTGTTTCCTACATTCTCCATGATCCCTGGATCTCATTTGGGATCTGCAGGATCCCTAATGATCGGCGGCCATGAAGTAAGAACAACTTAGAAAGTTTGAATTGTATATTGAGTTACTGGGTGGTTCAGAATCTCTCCAGATAGTTTGTTCTTCACTGAAAAGGTAAGTGAACAGATCTCGATGAGTACTGCTATTAATAACCTTTCTGAAATCATGTTTTTATAAATGATTGTGTTCTAAATGAGTTTAATGTTGCTTGTGCCACATTAGCTCGGTTTAATTACTCATGGGCAACAGAACAGTACAAACAAGACCTGAATATGATGAGTCCTGTGAGGGTCTGTGAGTCAAAAAGAAAAGCATAGCAGGCACAGCAGAAGAGCCATGCCTGAAACTTCTGGGAAGTACAGCATGACTTGTCATGGACTCATTGGCAACATGTGCCAATATTTGCTTATAAAACTCCTAGTAAAGGAGAGTGGGGGCTGGAATGACATTGTTAGGTGGCTGTTTGACAGCATATGAAGGAAGAGGACTGGAGGGGTGATAGTGCTACACGAGATGCCCAGAAGCTGACCTTGAGACTACAGGGAACAAAGCTTTCATTCACCTTGATACCTGTGCTTTCATGAGCAAACACCAGTGACCAGTGCCAGTTCTAGCTCTTGTATCCTCTAGCCCCAAACAGACACCCTACAGTGCTATTAAGTGTTCCTATCAAAGAAAAAAAAAAAGGGTTTAGTTATATACACAGGTCTTAGACTCACATATTTTTAAACATATTAAAAAACCGAGGGTGTAAAATCCTTGGCTTGAGAATGGAAGTGAGTCTCGGATCTTGGAAAAAAAAAATTAAAAAACAATAAATGTCCTGCAGTAAATTCTTGTAAAGAAAATGTTGGATATTGAATATGAACTTTAAATCTAGCCAAGAAAGAAGAAGTGAAATCAAATAAATTCAAATATGAAATAAAGTGCATATTCTTAACCATGGAGTAATTAAGCAAGAATCTGGCATACATGAAATGATGGATTCACTTCATCCCTTGAAGTTTTCACAGTAGGACTGAGCATTTTTCTCAACGAAGTGAGCAGTGAAGGAGCGTCTGGGTGCTCATCTGTCAGCAACAGTCTGTGAAATGCATGAGATCACAGCATGCAATACATCATTGCTTTTAAGCTGTAGGACTTTTTATTTGCCTGTAGGTTTCTCAATGGATGAACTGAGAGAAACAAGGGGGCAAATAAAAGCAAAATAAGCTAAACATTTACCAAAGGAGATAAATGAGTCCTAGCCATTTTTAGGGCACCGACATAACTTATGCGACCTGTGCTCAAATGACTTTGTACTTGTGTGACCATCAATACCACTATGCACTTGCTAGTGCTGCTAGTGCTGCTGAGGAAGTTGGTTGCAATAGGGCTCTGGAAAACGAAATTTTTTTTCCTTTTTGTATTCTCCATAAAAAGGAACTGACTGCAAGCAGAAGACACCTTTCCTCAGAAAGCAGTGGCAGATCCAGCTTATATGTATCCAAACTTCATGCCTCAACTAAGTAGTGACTTCTGATGAAGAAGCCCCAGGCTAATCAGCTGCCATCATCACTGCTGTTGGAGGGACTAGCTACAAGGAAGGAAGCTACTTTTAGAGGAGATTCTATGAGGAAATATTCTGGAGGTAGGAGGAAAAGTGGTCTGCAAAAATATATTACAGGGATATCTAGCATTGCCATTAACTGTAAAAAAGAAAGGAGACCTGACGGAGACCAGCTCAAGACGCCTGGGACAGACGGGCTTAAGGCTC